GCTCCCCGAGGGCTCCAGACCTGACAGCCCCGGAACCAGAGTGGAACCAGAGTGTGCTGTTAACGTAGGCGAGCCTTGCCCTTAGGAGATGGCTTTCAGAGCATGGGGCGGGGGGCGGGGGGGGGTCTCCAGCTTCCGAGGGGCCTGTGGTGGCCGCCAGCCGTGTCTGCGCTCGAGGCTCGAGGGGCGAGGGCTGGCCCACACCCAGCCTGCCGCCCGGAGAATCGGGCGTTACCTGCGAGCCTGGGTGAGGGAGCTTCTGTACAAGCGGCCTGGGGCCCTCAGAAGTCAGGCCGGGTCCGGCCTCCTTTCCCCAGCTCTGCTCCGAGGCGAGCAGCGGGGACTGGCAGCCTGCCCGCACTCCCTCCCCCGGAGCTCCCACTGGGCACGAGAGCAGCCGGGGCGACAGGTCAGTGCGGAAGGAGCATCAGGAGGAGGACTTGCGGCTCCGGGACGCCTATGTCCAGTTCCACCCGAGGGGTGGGGCCGCCCAGGAGGCTCGTCCTCGGGCTGATGTTGGGGCTGCGCTGCACGGAACATACACCCCTTATGTGCTTCTAAGCACGCAGTGCAGGGGTGCTGAGTACGTCCACATTGTTGTACAACCAGTTTCCAAAGCTTTCATCTTGCAGAACCATAGCCCTCTGGGTCTCCCTTAACAAGGAGGCCGCCACACGGTGGGAGCTGAGCGGCTGACACGGACTCGGCCTGGGAGGCGGGCCTGTCCGCCTGTCAGCCCGTCCGCCCGTCCCAGGGACTGTGCTGACCACCTCTCGCTTGTGAAGTTTCATGCTGGGTGCAGGGCCGCGGGGGAGAGCAGAGGCCAGTCCGGGCCTTAGCTTCCTCGGCGGTGATAGGCGGTTGGGTTAGATCGTCTGCCCCCCTAAAACGACGCGCCTGTGGGCATGGAAGGCTGTTGGGCAGCACAAAGTAGGTGGACATCGCATCCCCACGAGCGAGTTCTGATGGGCGTCTGCTGTTTACTCAGCACAGCGACCCCGAGGCCAGGTGGGGTTGGCTCAGATGGCAGCGTGGCTCAGATGGCAGCGTGGCTCAGGCCACACGCCCACTCAGTGACCACGTTCTTCGGGCAAGTGGCTCACTTCTTTGTGCCTCGGCTTCTCCATGTGTAAAATGGGGTAATAAACACCCCGCAGGCAAGTGAAACGCTGTGGGTGGAGGTTCTGACAGTGCTTGGCGTGTGGAAATGGCTCACCACACGTTAGCTTGATGGGGCTCTGGGGGCCACGTACACATGATGAGGAACTCGGTGGTGGTCAGCAAGAGGTCCGGGTGGACTCTGCTCCGTGCTGCCAGAGGCGTTGGGATTGGACACCTCGGCATCTGGCAGTAACGTCTGGCTGGGGCGTGTGGGGTTCTGGGGTCTTGTCTCGCCCAGAAGGCACGGGAGTGGCTGCTTCCGGGCACTCACGCCCAGTGGCCCCGACATTGGCTCAAGCACCTGGCAGGTGATTTTCAGTTTGGGACTCTGTGCGGTCGGTAGCAGGGTGTCCACTCTGACCAGGGCAGCTCATGTTCTAAGCAAGACCAACCAGTTTAAAATCCATGCGAACAGACGGAGCAGTGGACAGCATCCGGGTCCTCTCTTCCGGAAAACCTCCCTGAACTGCAGCCATGTTGTCTGTTCTCTCTGCTCCCTGGAGCCGTTGGCCACTGGCTCAGGCGGCCAGGGAGCCTCTGGCTGTGGTCGGGCCACAGCCTCAGCTTCCTCGCGGGCACCCGGCTTTGCAGAAAGAAAAAAATGGACAGTCCAGAGCCCACGCCACTATCGCAACAGCTATATGCCATTGGGTTCCTAGAAAAATGGGCCAGAAAGTGGGAATGGCCTAGACCAGTGATGGCGAACCTATGACACGCGTGTCAGAGGTGACATGCGAACTCATTTTTTTGGTTTATTTTTCTTTATTAAATGGCATTTAAATATATAAAATAAATATCAAAAATATAAGTCTTTGTTTTGCTATGGTTGCAAATATCAAAAAATTTCTATATGTGACACGGCACCAGAGTTAAGTTAGAGTTTTTCAAAATGCTGACACGCCGAGCTCAAAAGGTTCGCCATCACTGGCCTAGACCCAGCTCCCCCGTCAGCGGACGGTCTGACTGCATGCATGCGTCCTGCACAGCGGGCCACAGTGTGCCCGGCGGCGTGCCGCGCTCCCGCTGCCATGCCTGGCTCTCCCTGCACCAGGGCTTTACGGCCATCGCTGGTGCCTTTCATCTCCAGGGCACATTCCTTTTCCTTTTTTAAGATCGTGAGCTTGGAGCAGGGTTTTCGTGTATTCACGGGGAACATGGTATTTCCAAGGAGGATTTGCTAGGGCAGTTTATGGGTATGAGTCTGCACTGAGGCACCGAAAAGCTAGGTGGGCACGGGGGCGGCTGGAGGCACAGTGGTGGGAGGAGGTGAGCGCTGGACCAGGAATCGAGAGATCGGGCCCAGGCGGACGGGGGAGCCGCTTTCGCCTCAGCTTCCTCGTGGGTCATGTAAGTGCTGGGTTCGCTAATCTTGTGAAGGATGGTGCGGGCTGAGCTCAGGTGCCTCTAGGTCAGTGGTTCTCAACCTTCCTAACGCCGCGACCCTTTAATACAGTTCCTCATGTTGGGGTGACCCCCAACCATAACATTATTTTCGTTGCTACTTCATAACTGTAATGTTGCTACTGTTATGAATCGCCATGTAAATATCTGATATGCAGGATGTATTTTCATTGTTACAAATTGAACATAATTAAAGCATAGCGATTAATCACAAAAACAATATGTAATTATATATGTGTTTTCCGATGGTCTTAGGCGACCCCTGTGAAAGGGTCGTTCGACCCCCAAAGGGGTCGCGACCCACAGGTTGAGAACCACTGATCTAGGTGCTTCTGATTCCTTCTGAAGTCTCTACTGTGTGCTTAGTCTAGCTGCTCGCCCTGTGGGTAGTTTGCCAATAGTCTGTAAAAGTGCGAGTCCCTGAGATAACACTGGCCTGTGACACTGTGCGGGTCTCGTGTGTCAGGATGTTTTTCCATCATGAGTGTCACGCACAGCGAGCGCCCACCATCAGTCGCGGCAACTTCTGAGGCGGGCGATGGGCACGTGGCACTGAGTCCTGCGGGGGGACGGGCGCCCCGGCTGCTGCTTCCTGCTGCTGAGGCAGAGGAGCTCCCGGGCGGCCGCCCTCTGCCTGTGCCTCTGGCTGTAACGTGGGCCCTGCTCCGGGCATTTGACTTTCTCACTGACGGACACGGGACTCAGAGCCTCTCACAGCACCGTTCTCTCCCCGCGACGTCCCCGCCGCGCCACGCCCTCTGCCTGCCCTGGCCGCCTGGGCCCGTGGGACAGCAGAGCTCGCTGTGCCTTTAGAACACGCCAGCAGGTGCTCCTCCTGCCCCTTCCTCCCCACCCCACAGAGCTGGGAGCACCCCCTGACCTCGGCCGTTGTCGTGCAGGTGTTAAGCCCCACTTACAAGCAGAGAAATGAAGACTTCAGAAAGCTCTTTAAGCAGCTTCCAGACTCGGAGCGCCTCATTGTGGGTGAGCGGGTGACTGGGTTGGGGGGGGGCGGGGGGGCAGGAAGGAAGTCTGGGAGCTCCGGGACCTCACACGGCTGCTTCTGTCTAGAGATTCCCAAGTAAGAGCCAAGGCCGGTGAGAAAGGCTGTCTGGGAGCAGGGAGAGGGGTGCCCAGAGCGCTGGCCCCGGGCTGAGCACCGCGGTGGTGCCTCAGAGAGCCGACCTGGAGGAGTCGCTCCCACCCTCACCCCGCAGATGGTTGGTGGAGAAGGGCGGGTACTTGTGGGTTGGAGCGGGGCATTCGGGGATGAATAGGCCTTTCTGCCGCCTCTCGTGCCAGCCGTTCCTCTGCCTGCAGCAGTGGTGTGTCTCACGGCCTCCTTTTCCCGAGGATGAGATGCCAGGGACTCCTTGGCACTAGTTCAGACCTGGTCAGTGTAGGCAGGTGCCCGCCCCCCGTGCAGGGAGGGCAGGTGGTCGTGGGAAGTGCTTCCGGAATCTGAGCCCCCCTCCCCCCACAGACTACTCCTGTGCACTCCAAAGAGACATTCTCCTTCAGGGCCGACTCTACCTCTCGGAAAACTGGATCTGCTTCTACAGCAACATCTTCCGCTGGGAAACTCTGGTAAAGACTGGCCTGCTCCGCGGGCGTCCCCTGGGCTGGGCTGGGCGGGGCTCAGCGAGCGGCCCCCACTCGTCCCTCTGCGGGCTGATGCTCTGCCCAGCAGTGTGCAGCTAACAAAGCACGGGCCCGAGTCTTCAAGGCCAGATCTCTCCCCTCCTACCCTCTTGGGTGTGGAAAAGAGTGTTGAGAGGATTTGGCAATAGTCGTTGCAAAGGCAGACGAGTGGGGTAAAGGGGCTTTGGCCTTGGGCCCCGGAACTGGCTTGCGCACTTTCTGGATTCCGCTACTATTAGCCGTGTGGTTTTAGGCGCGTCCTTTACTCTTCCTTTGCCTCTCTCTCCTCACTTGTAAAATAAGATGGGAAAAGATAAACCAGCTGACTTGGCCCTAACTGGTTTGGCTCAGTGGATAGAGCGTCGGCCTGCGGACTGAAGGGTCCCAGGTTCGATTCCGGTCAAGGGCATGTACCTTAGTTGCGGGCACATCCCCAGTGGGGCGTGTGCAGGAGGCAGCTGATCGATGTCTCTCTCTCATCGATGTTTCTAACTCTCTATCCCTCTCCCTTCCTCTCTGTAAAAGAATCAATAAAAATATATTTAAAATAATAATAATTTTAAAAAATAAACTAGCTGACGTGTACGGTCTCCGCGGTGCCATGCTCTGTGTCTGAGCGGCACCGTGCTGGCACCAGCACATTTGTCAGCCTGTGAGCAGGAGAAGCGAAGTTCCCTGGATCGAGAGTCCAGGCCCCTGGGGCTCTGGGCAAGGCATGGCCCCACCTCGCCCTGTGGCCTCTGAACGCAGGGGCTACCCCAGATGACCTCTGAGGAGGTTTAGAAACGGAGACGGGTCCATTTCTTCTGTCTGAGCGGGTGCCGGGTGAACGCCCTTCGCTGTCTTAATGCCTCTCTGCTTGTTCTCGGTTGTCTGTCCCTGTGGGAATGCCAGCTGACTGTCCGTTTAAAAGACATCTGCTCCATGACTAAAGAGAAGACAGCTCGCCTCATCCCCAATGCCATCCAAGTTTGCACTGACTCAGAAAAGGTAAGTGGAGTCTCACCTCGGACTTGACTCCCCTCCCTAAGCCCCAGCCCCCAGCTTCTGTGTTTCTGCCCTTCAGCTGCAGATGGGGAGGCTGCGGGTTGGGGTGTGAGGCGGGGAGGGATGCGGTTGGAGAACTGCCTCCAGGGGGCAGGGTGTTTGGGAGGCTGAGGAAGGAGGGCCAGGACACTGCACCTGGAGCCAGGAAGCCTGAGTTCGAGTCCTGCGACCCGTAGGGCAGATGTGTAGCCCTGTAGCCTCGGCATTCTCGGGGTGTAAAAGGAGCGGGCAGGACCATTTTAGATACAGAGTCTTGAAAGGACATCACACATTTGAAAACACTAAGTTGCAAAGCGTAATGCAAATGTCAGTTGTCATTGTGTATCAGCAGAGCGCCCGGAGGGCGCGAGGAGTCTGATGGAAAGGAATTGTCCTGTGGGTGCGGGAAACGTGGAAGATAAAACTTAGGGCAGAGAAGTACTAGGACCGTGACTACCGCCTCGGGGGCGGGGGTGGACTCGGTTCCTGCCCATCACAGGGCAGGTCAGGGTCAGGTAGCTGTTGGTGTGAATTCTGTTTCTGGCACGAATCAGCCTTGTGAGTATAGACGTCACCCAGCTTCACAGCCGTTTCTCTTTATTAGGTACTAGTGCCCCGGTGCACAGATTCGGGCACATGGAAAGGAAATTAATTAGAGGGTGGCTGGCGGGGCAGGACTGGGTGAGAAGGGCCGGACACGCCCTGGAGCCAACCTCCCGCAGTCCCTCCCCGGCCAGTCCCACCTGGGGAGGCGCTGCAGCTCATAGGGCATCTGTGGAGTGAGCGGGTCCCTCAGCCTGGCCTGCGGGGATCGGGCCGAAACCGGCTCTCCGTCATCCCCTGAGGGGTCCCAGAGTGCGAGAGGGCAGTTCTCTGGTGACGCACCCAGAATCGGGCTCCCTCCTCTCTGGTTCCAGGTGCGTCACCAGAGAACCACCGCTGCCAAGTCACCGCAGCTCAGCAGCTCCTGCGTTGAGCATCTGGCCCCTGGTGGTCATTGTGCGTCATAGCTACCGTTCGGATGGTTGCTTAGCCTTTTATATATGTAGATTAGCACTTAGGTGTATTTCCCAAGGCCTTTGCATGGTGTAAATAAAGCAACATCTGTGAGGCACCTAGAATGTGTTCAGACAAATCTGGTTTTGTCTGGCTTCCTGCGTGTCATAAGGGCCCCGCTGATGCGTACGCTCCATGAGAGAAGGGGTCTCCTCCCGTGTTGTTTGCTGTCGTTCCCCAAGCGTGTGGGATGGTGCCGGGCACATGCTCACCCTGAACGCCCTGTTGAGTGACGGAATGAAACGGGGGGATTGTCTTCCCTTCCCCTTTAGGCGAGTTCACCGCTCCCCTCGCCCAGTCCAGCCGGTAAGGGAAGCAAGTGTTCCGTGGAGATGAGAGCTTCGAACAGGAAGGGGAGATGAGGGGAGCGGGTGACCCGAAGGCCTGGGGACAGTGGGGGCCGGGATCGCGGGCCTGAGAGCCGTGGCTGAGGCCGGAACCGGTGGCTCTCGCACAGGAAGGAGCAGCCCGTCTTCGTCCCTGTGGTGCGGTAACCCTCACTCACGTTTCTGCCCTTTCCTTGCACCCAGCACTTCTTCACTTCGTTCGGGGCCCGGGACAGGACATACATGATGATGTTCCGGCTGTGGCAGAACGCGCTCCTCGAGAAGGTGAGCACTGCCCAGCTCCGCCCTGAGCCCAGGACCCGCTCCCACTAGCACGTCCTCCCCCTCGGCGTGGGCCCTGTGGAGGGGCTGCTCTTTACCGGGGTGCTGGCCGCTCCCAGAGGCCCAGGTTTCCTCGTGGTCCGGGAAGTCCCCCAGACGTGCTCACAGGTGATGTCACCTGAGTCCGGGAAGTCGCCTGCCTCCCAGGGCCTGCTGCCTAGCCAGGGCCCTCCGGGATTTGTTCCTGTCGGGTGTGATAAGGCACAGACACGTGGAAGTGACTCTGAGTTTTATACTTACACATCTGCCCCCGGGACAGCAGCGCATCAGGCCACGCAGCCGCTGGGAAAGCGCAGGGGGTCGGGAGGCAGAGCCTGGGGAGCCTGGGCGGGGCCTGAGCCTGTGAGGTGGCAGACAAGCTGAGCCCCGTGGAGCTGGCCAGGGAAGGCTGCATGGAGGAGGCGAATTGTTAAGGGCAGAGAGGTAGATGTGGCCCAGGCAGGATTAATGGTAGACATAAGGCCAGAGAGAGGAGGAGGAGGCCCAGGTAAAGGAGAAGGCCTCCTTGTGGCGCTGTGAGAGCCAGCACAGAGCTGTCCCCCCCCCCCCCCCCACACACACACCTCTACCCTGCGGCTTAGAGAGAGCCCTGCCTGTGTCGTCCTGGGCAGGTCTCTAGACCCCTGGCTCAGGCACCCTCACAGCCCCAGCTTCTTAAACTCTGCCTTGAGGAGCACTCGGGTTCTTTCTCACATCGTCGGTGGGAAACGTGCTGTAAGTTCAGCTCTGGAAGCAGAGGCGCATCACGCCAGGCGGGGCCACAGGGGGAAGCGGGAAGCGGGAAGCGTGGGCGGAGCCTGTGAGGCTTTCCCAGGAAGGAATGGGTGAGGCAGGGTAGACCGGCCAAGCAGACTTGGGATTGGCTAGTTTGAGTAATTGAATAATTTTTAGTGATGTTGACTGCTTCTGTTTTTCTTAGCGATCTTGCCCTCCTTTTTCATAGACTTTTGCCCACCACCTTCTCCCCCTCCTCCCAACCCCAGGCGCATCCATGGTCTCCACCTCTGATCTCAGTTCTTTGAAAATCGGTTGCCTCTTTCCCAAATCTTTGAACTTCATGAGGGCTAACTTTTCTTAGGATCGTGCTTTTGAGGAGGAAATGAAGATACCCAGAGAAATAGAAAAACTGGAACTGGTACCTGGGGCTGAGGGCAAACGGGTTCTACTGAAGAATAAAGAAGAGAGGATTGAGGTGGCCAGGAGAGGGCAGCGACCTTTGGGGCCCCTTAAACTCCGAGAAGCCTCCAGTGGCTTCTCTCTGGCCACGGGAGCTGCCCCCCTGCAGGGCCACCTCTGAGGCGGCCTGGTTCTCGGGTGTGGCCCCGCAGGGTGTGCCTGGCGCTGTTAGTGCAGGAGATTTCCGCAGCGTCAGGGAGGCTGGCTCAGAGGGTCTCTGCAGCGCATCCCACGTCCAGATCAGAAGCCCTGGCCCACAGGGACCCCAGTTCATTGTGTAACGATGGGCCTCCTCCAGAGGAGCCGAGAGCGGACAGTGACCGTCCCCACGGGCCGTGGTCCCTGTGGACCGGAGTTGTATGAACAGGCCCAGTCCCGGCTGCAATAAAAGACATCGTCTTGGGCAGAAGAGCGGGGTCTTGAGATCCGGCGAGGAGGGCCGGGGAGGTGCCCGAGGTGGTCATGGAGGCCTGGCTCTCTCGGTCCAGCCAGGGGGAGCCCTCGGAGACCAGCTCACTCGGAGCCTCCGTGGGGAAGGTCCCAAGGAGGCAGGAACAGACTCCCTTGTTGTTCCCTGCAGCCGCTTCCCCCAAGGA